TTGATTTTGCAATTTAGTGTTGCCATTAAACAATGTTGCTTTCAACAGGGCCGGTAAAGGGTGAACACACCAAAACTGCGACACTTAGAAATTACTACCAGAAACAAACTAGAAGGCTTTGAAATTATTTTTTTTATATTATATAACTTGGAAGTTTAGATGTTATTAAAATGTTAAAATATTAGTTATTATTTGCTCCATATGCAAGTGATCGGTATTTTCATCGCCCACGCGACATAATGTTCTGCACGACTACATCATCGACTTTACGCGATGCGCACAACTACTTTGTTTTGCACTCTTCAGTATTTTTCACTGTTTCAACTGTTTTCTGCAAGATTTCTTTGACAATTGGCCAATAATCCCCAATAGGACGTGGCTCTGGGCTATTGGGTGGATTGCAGTCGTGAGGTGCAAAATTGATGTTATTTGCATTATACCACGGCAATGTGTCCTTGGCATAGTGGCAGGTTGCCATGTCCGCCTAGAACAGTGGCCTACTCCTTATCTGTTGATAAACGACAGAAGACGCCTTTTGACTCATCCCGATAAACTTTATCATTCATTGTCCCGGATGGGAAAAAGGGCTCCTCTTACGGCCACAGGATTAAATAGCTTGCCAAACCATGTGGTTTTTTGGAAATTTGGACTTCACACTGAGGACCTTCCGAGCACTGTTTTTATCACTTTGACCATGCTAACCCCCGCTCCCTGATTTTCTCGTAACTGCCAGGCCTTATTTGTACCGATTAAAACCCTGCAAACTGTCGAATAGTGCAATCTTTAATTTTTGAGCAATTTTACGTGTACTTAAGGCCGGATCATTTATAAACTCGTGCAAAATGGTTTGTCTCGTTTCTAACTCGGTTGCCATTTTTAACTCAACTAGGAATCAAATTCAAATGAAATTTCTTCTACGTCCAACTAAGGCCATGTGGTCAGCTTATGGTATTTGAATTTCAAAATATCGAATTCGTTTTGGGTAGGTTATAAGCTTCCCAAAGTGTCGCAGTTTTGGTGTGTTCACCCTTTATGTTTAGGTCCGCGACCTAAATATATTGCACCACCCTAATCCGTGTTTTGTCACTTGATGTAAGAGCACACAAACACATATATAAGTTACGGCTATCTTTCCAGCCGCTAACAATAAGCCCCACTGTACGGTAACTTATTGGAGGGGAAACTTAACGAAAGTTACTGTGCGGTGGGCTACATCCCTTTTCGTTTGTTAGCACTTCTTCACTTGTTAGAAGACCATCTGAAAGGAGATATCGCAGTTGTCACACCTCGTTTGGTAAGCCAATTCTTGTGTATGAAAGTATTTAAACGCACAGATACCTACAAATAAAACGACCTTTGATTTCACTGTACTAAAACCACTGTGTCTTTTATTTATTCTTATTTTTCGTTACATCAACTTTACGCTGGTGCGCTCCATCTTCGTGCGACGCCACCTGCGTAAATACTGCCGAAATCCGCAATAAAATTGCGTTTTGCTAATTTTAGTCCTGCAATTGTCACGCCCATTTCTAGGGGTTTGTCACCTTAAAGAAAAATTTTGCCATACAAGTATTATGGGCCTGTTCGAGGCACGTAATAAAAGCGGCATTACTGCCGTACTGATGAAAAATGGCAACATTGTTGCAACTGCCCAACTGATAATACATTGCTAGAAATTCACACAGAACGGGATATTTTAATAATTCGCACAACACTGCGGTTGTGATTGCAACTCGAACAAGACCTATATCTGGATAT